AAAATTTAATTGAGAAATTTTAAAATTTTATTACTGGAAATTATTATAATTTACGTCGTAAAATGTATCGATAAGTGAAAAAGATGAAAATGGCCCTAGTTGGTTTAATGTAATTATACGAGGATGTATTTTATCCTCATATATTTTATCATATTTCTTGGCATAGTTGGATAGAGCTCGATCTCATGAACGCGTAGGTACAAACCGTTTGTGAAACGGAGTTATAACGAATGAGTTATTAAAGAATGAAGTTAAGGGTAAAAATGGTAATTTAATTATAATCCAGAACGCTCCAAATTTGTTGGAGTGTGGATATGGTGCCACGTGTGTGGCTGAGAGAGAACGAAAAATGAAGGGGAACGGGTGTTCTACCTGGCCCGACCAGACGACGGCATAAGGTTTTTCTAAGCATTCACAGCGATTTGAGGCAATTCACCACCTAGAAACATCTCCATAGCCTTCCTTCTTCCATTTCCACCCAAAATTAGAAGGAATTTGGTGGTGATTTTGGGGGAAAACGGACGGTGGTCTGTGTGAGTGTACGGCGGCGTTCCTCAAATCGTGAAGCTAACTCAGCCAATTACCACCACCAATAGGCTCCCCTCAACCCTAGGAAGAAAACCCAAGCAGTGATGAAGGTGTCGGAGTGAGTATGGTGGTATGGAGGTTGAATCAAAGCACACCCAATTTTAGGGTTCTGCGCGGTTCGAGGGCGATTTGAGGAGTTTCCTGGTCGAATTGGACTTCAGCCCAAGTATGAAAGTTGTTCCTCTCATTGAACTCTACTTGCCTGTAAAATTTGGTAATTTTTAGAGTTAGTCAGAAAATTGGGTTTCCATTCGCCGGAAACCGCCACGTGCGGCGAAGTGTGGCCAGTGGGCTGGTGCTGCATTTTCATGCAAAATTTGATATTTTTAAATCTGTAATTGGTACCCATGTGTTGTGATTTGATTGTGAAAGCAAATGTTGAATATTTCCATTACTAGAATACTTTCAGAAATGGATAAAAGAATGAATGTAAACTACGAAAGGCTTGATCCCGTTCAAGGGTACGTTGGTAGTCTAATAGGGGTTAGATGCAGCCTTATATAATTGAGATTAATCTTTTGTTGGAAATTTGAAGGAAGAAAAGGAATTATGGTGAATTATTTGAAAAATTAAATCTTATGTTTTTGGTAAATAAATTTTGGTCATAGATTTTGTGAGTGATTAGGAAATTTAAATAAAGAATTGTGATTAATGGTAGTTAATTAAGCGATAGTTTAATTTTTTTGGCCTATCACCGTAATTATTTTCCGAAATAAAAAATTTTGGGTCGGGACGTTACAGTTTTTATCAAATAATTAGACTTTCTTTTATTTGTGATGATTTTATTCACATTTTCAATATCTTATTTATTTATAATTTATAAATGACAGGGCTAGGTTTGTGGTTGCATGTTGCAATCGAAGTCTAGCTTTCAGAGCTATTACAGTCGTCTCCAGCGGAATCTCCTATCTATGCTACTATTCACACAAAAAAAAAAAAACAAAGGATCCGTGGACTTGGTCCGAACCGGCCCGTTTCTTTTAAACTCGGGTCTGGTTCAGTCCCTTCAAAATTGGGTCCAGCCCAACCCGTGCCTAGCCCTAGTTCAAATCATTAAAATTCTATATGGTGTGGACCCCACAACTAATCCTTATTTTTATAAAAAATGAAGATTCCTTTTCCTAAAGGTTTCCTTTAACACATATTTTTGCCATTTAAAAAATAATAAGTGAATATTATTTAATCTAATAAAAAATAACATGTATTTTTTATTTTTAAAATCTAAAAGAATTATAAAACATATTGCATGGTCTATAACAACCATCATGGATGGCATAGTGGTTGAAAATGAATTTCATGCTTATATTTCATACGACATGTTTAGGTTCAATTCATGCCGCTAGTAAATCACACAATGGTGGTTAGAAGGACGTTGAAATGTCTCAGTGACTCTTCCTTTCCTGGGAAGGATTTAATCTTTCTTGGAACTTAAAAACAAGAAACACGTGTCATTTTTTTACTTAGTCATATCAAAAAGTGATATAAATGAAACTCATTAGTGCGTATCTAAGTATTATCCGAGAATTCATATGCCATGTGTGAGAAGGTAAACGTAGGGCAAAGTCATGCTTTTAATATATTAGTTTAGTAAATTATCATTATTTTATTACTATTAGTTTCTTGCTACCAACCCAGTGGTGCCAATTAGGATAATGAATTGGTATAACTCTCTCTCTCTCTCTCTCTCTCTCTCTCTCTCTCTCTCTCTCTCTCAGGCAGATTAGCACTTGAGAGCATTATTAAAGGAGATATCAAATTTCAAGTAAACAATTTAATTTGACAGTGTAGGTGACACTTAACATCTTATAAACATTTACTCTCTACCCAATATGTTAAATTAAAGCATTTAATGTGCAATTAGAAAAAAAGAATCTAATTAATAAAATTGCATTCAATAATCAATTAAAAAAGATTTGAAGCTGCTATCAATTTTGGCAACATGGGTGAGGACTGCCAATTAATGTCATACTACATCATATTTGACTTTTTGATTGAAAAACATTGTTGTTGCATTTTTTTACTATTAATGTTGATTTTGACATTTTGACATATTTTTTAAAGATGCTTTGACCTGACCACCTACGAGTCAAATTTAAGATCAATTAACTAAAAATCAACGATAAGGAACATAATTTTAACATAAAGAAGTAATGGAAACGGAAATATCAATTTAAATAATTTTATTTATTTATTTCTTATACTTAATTTTATTTATTGTTTCTAATAAAATTAGTTTCGTGACACCAAAATTTTGAAATATTAAATATATATGTTTTGTCAGTGGTCAATAATCATAATTTTGTTACAAACAATATTTTATAATGTGGAGGGCAACGATTTGAATCGAAGGATAGTGGTTTGAATATTTTTATTTGATGGAAAACAAAAAGTACAGCTTTACTTAAAGAGTAATTGTCACATCCCGGCCCAGATCCCCACCACATCCCGGATTCGACTCCATCATAGCACGATATTGTTTGCTTTAGGCCCCGACCAAGCCCTCATGGTTTTGTTTCTAGAAACTCACACGAGAACTTTCCAGTGGGTCACCCATCTTGGGATTGCTCTCGTGCGAACTCGCTTAACTTCGGAGTTCCAATGGAACCCAAAGCCAGCGAGCTCCTAAAAGGCTTCGTGCTAGGTAGAGATGAGAATATACATATAAGGCTTACAGGATCCACTCCCCTGGGCGATGTGGGATGTTACAATCCACCCCCTTTAGGGGCCTGACGTCATCGTTGGCACACTTCCGACCAGGGATTGACTTTGATACCAAATTGTCACATCCTGGGCTCGACTCCACCGTAGCACGATATTGTCCACTTTGGGCCCTGACCACACCCTCAGAGTTTTGTTTTTGGGAACTCACACGAGAACTTCCCAGTGGATCACCCATTCTGTGATTGCTCTTGTGCGAACTCACTTAACTTTGGAGTTCCGATGGAACCCGAAGCCAGTGAGCTCCCAAAAGGCCTCATGTTAGGTAAAGATGGGACTATACATATCAGGCTTACATGATCTACTCCCTTGGGCAATGTGGGATGTTACAGTAATGGTATTCACACATTCATCTTTACTTCTCAAATCCCTTTTAATTTTTGATCGTCGGGTCGAATGAACTGAAGAAGATCACTGGCAAAACATTAAAAAAAGTGTTTGAGAGATAAAAATAGAGAATTTTAACCAAAAGCTCCTGGTATTGTTCACTTTAACAAAAAATCACATTTTAACTTTACCTTTTATTTTGTCTTTATCGTTAAAACTCAAAATTTTCAAACCATTTTCATTAATTTTCCTATAAAAATAGGTGCATGAATTATTTGAAAAGGACTTTACTTGATTAAATTTTTCTCTAATTTTTCTTTTTCTTCTGTATCAAAAAGAGCTTGTACCTTATTCACTATTGCACCTTAAGTCGTCTTGTCTCGTCTCGCTTGTATAAAAGAAATAATTTTCTATAAAAGCTTACCCCTCTTATATTTCAACTCCATGAATTCACTTTTGAGGATAATTGCTAAAAGAAAAATATTTGATCACCATGTAATTTGAAAACACAGGGAAACAAAATGGTAGTAGCCAGAAATAATTGTTTGTGACACTTCAAAATGCTCATGCACTATGGAGATGGGATCCTCTCCGGATCCCTTCCACCAAGTCCACTCATTCGAGGCCATTGAAATTTGATCCAACGGTTACAAACAGGGACCCTTTTAAAAGTTATTAGAACTTTAACCATTGAATCAAATTTTAATAGTTCAGATGAGTGGACTTGGTGAAAATGATCCTTTCCATGCACTACCAACATTCCGCTTCTGAGCAACAGTAGCAAATTCAGTAATTTTTGAGAGATAAGAACCTAGTGGACCAAGTTTCTGTAGTATGGTTCAACCACATGGCCTCAAACCTAAAAGGTTTGTTTTAGGGGGAAGTGAATCACTCTTCAAAATAAAATTTCTACTCCTAATGTCAATCATGTTATTTATTTATTTTTTTTTTTTTCAGAACCTTCAATTGCCTATTTACACGTACCTATTGTAAAAAGTACGGGAAGAGGAAGGGAGTATAATTATTTTAGAGCGGTGATAACAACTCTCGAGATACTGGAGCAACCTATTTTCGCTCTTATCAGCCTTTATGCAAACAACAGAACAATTGCACGCGGGAGAGGGCGCCAAAGAGCTGAAAAAATATCTCTCAAGCAAACAAAAACCATTGTTAGAGTCACTTTGAGCATACAGAAATTGTTCAGCACTTAGAAACACCCAATCGAAAGGAACATGCTTGATTAGTAAGTCTGGTCTGTTCAAACTTTTATTACGGAAATAAGAATTTGTACCTAATGCACGATTGAATACTCCAATTTTCCAAAAGTATGAAGACTATGAAGAGTGAAAGAGGAGAGAGTTGATAACTCATTCTTCCAATTGCCTTTGCCCCAAAATTGGAATGTCTTCATACCGTTTCTGCATTCAAAAGAGAACATTCGGTTCAAATGTAAAACTCTTATGACGGATGCATGATACTGCAACAAAATAATAACTTTAGGTATGGCATTGTAATGTTGTAAAGATGAGGTGTGAGAGCAAAATGATGCCCAAACTTGAGGGTATAAAATGTAATTTACCCAAAAAAAGTTCAATATCAAGAATGTTGTAAAGCTACTTAGTACAGAAGAAAGAATCTCAACTGCATGAAAGGTATTTGCAATTCAATATACATTGTCAAGGACATGGATGTGCAAAAAAAATATCCGCCCATATCAATGATGGTCAGATTAATAAAAGTTCCTCTAACAGGCTAACTACTCTCCGAACATGAAGATGCTAGTTCAATATACATCCAAACACGCATATGACCTAGTAGTATGCAACAGCTCCAGCAATGGGCAAAAGTCTGTCTTCGGAGAATAACTAACATGCACTAAAAGAAGGAAGAACAGGTAGATGCAATACAATATTCTGTATCTAACCCATATAGTAACACGAAGATACGTGCATACATATAATTCTTCGATCAACTATATTTGTATACATCAAGTGCATATTTTGAACAATACAAAAATGCATAACATACTAAAATGATAATGGTGGACATACCCCAATGTTGTTGTACTCCCACAATTTGTGAACTCCATAATCCACGGCCTGAAACCAGAAAATGAAATACATAAGAGCTCTGAAAATTGTTCTTCTTTCGTAAAAAGAGAGGAGAAGAAACCAAATGCCACATCAAATAATACAAAACAATTCAGAAAGGAAAGGAAAAAAAACATACATAACCATGCATGGTAGTCGTTTTAAAGCACAAAATCGGAGTTTATATGGCCTCATTTGGTGTCAAGGACTAGATATGATAACTCACAAGATTCATTGTATGTTGAATAAACAAATAACTGTCAACTTCCAATTCAAGGTCTAAGACAGATTAGCATCCCTTAAAATCCCCACAAAAATGGTAGGATTTGGAAGGAACAAACTTTTTGTCATGTCCAACCCATCTTTTTCCTTCAACTTGGACAAAATTTAGCACCCATCTCTTCCTTCAACAAACATTGAATCCAGTAAAATACCCCATAACCGCCAAACGAGGCCTAAGTTCTGCTTGGTCTCCGTAAGATAGCCAAGAATTACATCTCAATGGTCCCATAATGTAAGACCCTCAACTCGATTGAGGTTAGAAATTGATTGTCCATACGGCATAAGATTACTGCATACAATTTCGCAACCAGCAGAATATGGAAACCAAATACTGTCGTAATTTAAATCTCTCACATTGCGCAAGCATATGACTACGACATGACTAACAATAGTTGAATTAAAGATAAAAAAATTTGAATAAATCCCTAAAAACAATATCAACTTTCAATCCATTTCTCACAAACAGAATACTAATCCATAATAAAGCGAATGGGTTATTTCTGAGCTCGCAACTACACTAGCCAAAGTTTACATAGTAGCAAATCAAGCAAATTTCATTTCCACAAATTTTCTAAGCAACCAAACAGAAAATTACAAAAACAGATCGCCAAACAGACCAAAACGACTAATTAGTGAAGAAGCCGTAAATCTGAGAGTTAAGAGGTTCACCCGCTCACCGAGGAAGGCGCCGACAATGACGAAGGTGACGTAGACTGAGTTCCGGCGCATGATGACCCTGTAGAGCCCTTCAAAAAGGCCTCCGCTAGTTTTTCCGGCTGCTGAAGACATGGCGAAGTGCGCGCGTCTCTTTCACTCACCTCTGATCTGTGGGCTAAGGTTTGGTCGGAGCTTGCACTAGTACGATAAACTATGATGCGATCAAAGACAACAACGGACAGTGAATTGATGTATGATATGAAAAGATAAAAAAGCAAAGAGTGATTGTATCGGGAAATGCTATTCACCTTTTTCGATTGGGCGAAGAGCACGGAGAGGTATGGAGCCCAACCCAACAGAAAAGGCTTTAGTTTGCAAGAAGGAAAGCACTACTATCTTTCTCTTCTTTTTACTTTGGGCCCGAAACTCATTACAATATGTCAATTTCTTCCTTACGGTGAGATTTTAAACTTTTCCACCCAATTTTTCGTTGAGAAATTTTATTTGAATCTATATAATTTTTTTTACACCTAACTTAAACTTTAAATGTGAATTGTCATTTTTACCTTATTGCAGGATTACCATAAAGTACAAGATGAAATTAACAATAAAACTAAAATTTATCAATAAACCCACACCCAAATAAAATCTTACCATCATGTAATGTTTATCCTACATTCATTTCGGCTAAAACCCTACATTGATCCTACGTTGAAATGCAATTTTTCATTTGATTTCTATTTTTATAGAGTTGAGAAGATGAGTTTTTGAGTTTCAATTTATGGCCATCAACAATGAAAGTTGAGAAGATGGGTTTTGGGTTTTGCTGTGTAGGTGGTGGCGAAGCCTCACCTTGGACTTAAGAATCTGTTCTTGGTTGAATATTTCACCGGAGAAGAAGTGGTTCCCCAACTTGAGAAGGAGCTGAGTGTTCCCGAGGCGGTTGTAAGTTTCACTGGTCTAGCATTATTATGGCTATTGCAGAAAGGGCAAAAGATGGGACGAAAAACTCATCCATCTTCATCACACCATATATACCTTTTCTAGTAGCACATTCAGGACATAATCGTTAGTCAGTTATGATTGGTTCCATTTACATACAACTATAACCAAATGATTTGCTAACTAAACTAGATAAGAACAAATTGTTGGGACTTGGCATCTTCATCTTTAGAAGATATAGATGATTCTCAGCAAGTCCCTGTGGGGTTTTCCAGATTAAGCAAGAAATTTGTAGTCCATTGTCCATTACCCAACCAACCAAGTGATATTCGGAAATTGAAACCAACACAATAGACTTACCTTGATAATTGATTTCACTATGAGCAGTTATGTGAATTCCAATAGGGAGCTCTGACGTGACGGGAGCGTGAGCATGATTAAAGGTATTTAATAAACTACCTGCCAAAATAATAGCACCACCCGACGATAAGTCACCTCTAAGTATAACACTTCATCTTGTGGTAGAGTTTGGCAAGCACATCCTCCATTGCTACGGGCCACACAAATTCTCCATCACCATTCTCTACACCTATGGCAGCTTTGTCGATACCCCTAGCATTCCTGCCTAATTGCCACATCTCACAATATCTGCATAGCAAGAAAAATTATTATTAGTTTATTTTCTTTGGTGTTTTAAGTATAGACATATGAAAGCATATACTTTATGCTTATGCAAATACAATCACGGGAACATGGATATCAAGAAAACAAGAGATTGAAGTGTTAGGTATATGGAGCAGTCATAAACAAGTACAAACTTTACCAAATTATTCAATTGGGATTTTTATTTTCTAAATAGGCGTGAAGATATATTCACATTTTGAATTGGGTTTTTGAGGGTAGTTTAGGTACAAATTTGGGTTTAAAGAGATATTAATTCTTTCATTAAAAATAATATGGGGGTGTAGAAGGTAAGTTAAGTGTAGAAAGAGGTTATATAGGTTCAAATAAAATTTTTCTTTTTCGTTTACTCATGTGACTTGCAAATGACATATCTAAAATGGTAATATTGTCGTTTCAATGCGTATGGTATGATGTTATGGTTTTTTAGGTAACCAGAACCCTTTTGGTGAGGGATGAAAGCAATAGCCACACCTATTTAGGTGTGCTGCGCTTTGAGACGATTTTGAGAAGAATGAAGGAATGGATTCAAACTTTTTGGCCAGAAGATTCTTAAACACAAACAAATCTTAACGAATTTTCAACATTGGTTGAACAAGTAAATGTCTTTCCAACTCAGATGATAAGTTTCATAGATTTGTTGTACCATAAGATACCCAAGAGTAGTGTAATGAACCAGGCGTGGAGGAAACAAATGAGCATTGTTTGAGGCAAAGATGGATTTAGCCCTTCGCACAATTCCCCAAGGGTGAATGGCACTTGATGTTTGGTAGTCGAGCTCTTGCTAATTAGAGTGTTGCAAAAAGAGTTCCAAGTTAGCTTGAAATGTGCCTTTGTGGGGCCTTAGATGTAGGCCTTGAGGCTCGCAATCAAACTAACAAAGTGATAGGCGTGCCACTGCTATCTCCGTATAACAGATGTTGAGCAGATGTGATTACTTGCGCCCCCAGTTTACTTAAACTTCTTGTTATCAAAGGATTGTCGCAGATGGGTTAAGTCTGCATTAAGTTCTTTTTCTTGCCTTGTAAACAAGGACTTTTAGTTCATAATCTTGTAGAGCCCTTTAAACCATTTCCTAGATTCCAGTTTGTTCTTAATGAAAGCAAGTTTATTAAATTAACCAGATTCGAATGCAAATAAGACTCTTAGGTAGAAAATAGTTGGAAATAACTTGAATACATATTGAAAAGTGTATTAAGCGATAGATCTACTAAATGAAAGTACAAACGAAGAGACTCGGGCAAGATTTCACCTTGTTGGGCAAAGTTGAACATCTTGCAACCACTTCTCTTTGGGTTTATAGAGGCTATATGCTAAAAAGGGATGAATGGTAAACAGGTTTTACATGAGGGAATCGATACTACAACACTATGGAAAGTAGTCGAGCTTTTACACTAGACAAAAGATAGCTTTTCTAAGAGAATTATTGCTAAAAGGACTGAATCTAGGCGAGTTTCAACTTTTTGGATGCATATCTGGCTTGAGAGCAGAGTTTGTATGTTGTTTGTTTAATTGGTTAAGTATCCTTGTCTCTTGTGCTTGCTTCACCTTTTATAGGCAATTTGGCTCGACTGCTTTGGCTTTGATCTTGGCCAAGGGTTCTTAGGGGCAGTGAATCATCATATGTTTACTTGTAATGCCACTAGAAAGTGCTTTTTGGCTGATAGTGAGGTGGTCTCTGTCAGTTGTCATTTCAATCATAGACACATGGCCTATGCTTTAATTAAGGAGGCGCCAATTTATTCTTGGTTTGTTGACTGAACCTCAAGCAAATCTTCATTCAATTTTGACCTCATCGGGCCTTGTTCTTATCAAGCCCAATGCTAAATATTAACCCAAACAAGCACAATACCGTGGAGCTTGATAGTTTACATGGGTTTGAATTTAACCAAGAAAATAAGTTGAAATTGTCGAAAAGTATAAAAGCTCCAAAATTTATACAGTATGATAGAGATCATGACTTTAGATATCCAAAACTTTGTGGGTATGTTTGATTAGCTTCTCTAAGTTTCATTGGACTGGCTAAGATACTTAGACCGTGTTTGGTGCAAGCAGGGATTGTGTTTAATGAGACTAAGTCGGACTCTCTGGGATTAAACGCTTCGTTAAAGGGCTTTAGTGAGACCCCCCGAAAAGGAGAGGATTGCTAATCTCGTCTCCTACGCTTGCTTTGCTTCATCTCAGGCTCGTCTAGGACTCTTATATGCTTCGCATCATCCTTGTAACTGTCCAATGATTGATGACAGACTTGCATCGTCGTCAAAACCCAAATCCCCAAAAGACGAGATATTTGAAAGAACACTGCCGAATGAGCGTTTCTTCAAGCGCAACGACGACCAGAAGTGTCCCCAATCCTTGCTTCAACGACAGCACTGCAAGCACAAACCACCACTTCAACGAGGTCAAACCTAAAATTGAACGGATCTAGGCCAACCAAGCTCTCCCATTCAGGGATTCCACGCCCACCGAACAAAAACTTGAAAAACCAAGCTTGATTCTTCGTTTTTGCAAAAAAATTATTTTGGCAATTAATCGGAAAAAAGAGGGAAATGAAGAAGAGTGTGGGACAGAGAGAACGAGGGAGATAAAAGGGAGAAAAAGATGGACTGATGGAGGCTTTCAAAGAGATGGAGAGTTTTTTTTAGAATAAAAAAAAGGTAGAATTAATTAATATAATATTATTAGATATGGATTAAAAAATATGATATTGTAGTTTGGTATTATCCTTCTTTTTAGTTCGATACAGCACCAAACACTTCACTAAGTCAGTCTAGCTTAGTGTCGTCTAAGCCAATCTAGCTTAGTCCCTGAAGCTATTCCAGTTCGAGATAGTCCGATGCAACAAACGCACCCTGTATTCCTATCATTTTTGTTATGTTATTTGTATGAAGTTATTTGCTTAAACTAAATAAGTAAATATTTTTAATTGACGTATTGGTCAAAGTCGGAATTGGATCCCCTCCGGAGTAATATAATTTGAGTTTGTTGAGTAGCTCATCTGGCCCGTTGAAATTTGATCCAACGACTATAAATAGGAGGGCCCCATAAAAATTATAATAATTATAACCATTTAATCAAATTTCAACGGGCTGGATGACCTGCTCAGCAAGCTCAGATTATATTGCTCCTGAGTAGATCCGGTTCCCAATACGTCGTCGCTATTAAATTTCGATCATCCCAACAATTGAAATATGTAAATGGATAATTTCAATCAAATTTCCCCTACTTTTTGCCATGTGTAATGTCCTCATCTATGAATTCCGAGAACCTCATCACATAACACCGGTGTGTATTATTTTATTTGACAAAACAATAAGATAATATACGCCAAAATGTTCCTTAATATGAGGATATAAAAGGTTTGAATCTCAGGCCCAATGGCCAGCGCGTTCAAATTGACTACTCATTTTAAGTTGAAGTTATTAACACTCCATGCTAATCAACATACATTTCTTCTCGATCGCGTAGTGCATAACGGCTATTTCTGAGTTTTCGTTACAATTCCTTTCATTTTTTTTTTAATAAAAATAGATAAAACTCACGTTAAAGATTATTAGAAAGGGGTAAAAATACACAAATAGCCCAAGGTCATATCATTTGGCATCCAAAATTCAAGATTTCCTTTTATTGTCTGCTTAACTGCCATTGCATAAAGCTGTGAAAGAACTGAACCGAAAGGGAAAACGGAAACTTTAACGCTCAAATCTGATTCTTATGTGCCACGATGATAGGTTAACATAAAATTTATCAAACAAATGCACCACTTACTTTTAACAAGAGAAGTAAATGACAAATGGATCCAAGAGAATGTCCGGACTGCACTGTTTTGCGTCTCTTATTCCCGCATTTGTCCATCTCAACCAGAGGATGTCTTCTTCTGTTGGAAATTGACAGCCCAAATCGGAACACCCACGCCAATGCTGAAGGCAGCAAGCACTCCAAGGCTCACCTGCAACTTCTGGTTTTTCATCTGGTCCAAGTTATACATGTGTTTGGCATGCATGTAGGCTGGTTCATCGTGGCCGTGATCACTCATTCTTTTCACTCCACTTGAGTGGAACCCTCTAGTTCCTGGTAAAAGCACAGTAGCCACTAGTTCTACTTAGTACATACAATGAAACAATGTTCCGCATTAAAACTCAAACAAATCAATACCTCAGCTAAGTTATAAACATATAAGGCATCCATTCATTCTCCACTACGGATGGATTGCTAGGGATTTACACATGTAAAAGCATGAACTTCTAGATGAGAGAGAGAGAGATTTAGTGTCACTGCGTGAAATCACTCAGTACTTAACTCTAGAAGCACATGAGCATATCAATCAAACTCGATTAAAAAAATCAGTTCAAATTAATTGAATTTTATTGACCAACTATATCAGATGCACAAAAACACCAGAAAATACCAATGGCAATGATGGTCTCATAGCATAGACAGTTATTTAAGTTTGGTTTATAGGCCAGTAATTTGGAATTTGGAGCATGCAAAGATTTGCCCTTACTCTTAGTACCACGCAACACAAGATGGCACCATTGTCTTTACCAATAGATCTCTCGGTGTAGGTTACTAGGTTATAAATTTAACCAGGAGCCTCTTCTCAAGAGGAATCCCACTCAATGAACAGTGGAGTGGGATACTCACAATATATTGATAGCCATCCATATGGACAATACACCGACATCCATATAGACACCACATTGACATCCATATCAACATGATATCGACATGATATCAATAATATGGATAACATATTGACTACATGGAGCGGGATCCCTATCCTAAAGTTTCTCCTATTTCCCCTCACATTTAAAAGTAAAACCTGTAAATGTCTCATGCCAAAAATTGAGCCAGTACCTAAGAAACTATACTCCAGCAAACAGTGAGTGGTTGGTACAGTGGTACTTGGTGGAAAATAAAAAAAAATAAAAAATTTGGGGCGGTTCCCTGAATTATAACATGTAAGAGAACATGTAAGACCTTGAGGCTGCCCCATATTGGTCGGGTGAAATTGAGCCCTTGAACACAATTTCTCAAGCAAGAACCCATTTGGAATGGCCAAAAGTAATTTATAGAAGCACCTAACCATGATGGAATAGAGATATGTATAAGACCTCTCTTTTACATAAGAGGAGAAATGGTAACACCTTCTTACAAGTGAGAAAAGAAAGGAATGACTTCGAGGTTTCTCTATGCCCACGTGACAACACGAGTGCCATCAGTGAAAGTTCACTCGGTTCTCTAAAAGGCAATGAGGGAAATAGGAACAAGGACAAGCCTGAAGGAGGGGAAAGCTCTAAACTACAAGCAGCGCGGGGTGAAAAGTGGATGTGTACTAGTTTTACTATTCTTTCAAACGGAGCAGGTGAGAATCAAAAGGTAATGGATTATGTTTTTATCCCTAACCAGTCCATCTGCAATGGAGAAAACCTGAATGCCATGATTTATGCCTAATAACATTCGAAACAATCCCTGAATGGAGAAAAAAAGTAAATAACATTGTAGTCCAGACACAATTCCTAATTTTCATCAAGTTTGAATCACCGGGCTTAAACCATTCAATCCTATTGACCACTCAAAAGTTACATCCGGGACTCACATTGTGCATCCACCTGACTATTACATAATATGCATCAACATCAAACAAAATAAGCGACAGACGGCAAAAAAATAACCTGATTTCAATAGAGAAGCTTCAGAAGCCCTCAACAACTTTGCGCAGGTCCGCATCCCTCCGTACATGCTCATGCTCATGATCGTAAGAAAGAACAAGCTCTTGCCTCTTACCACCTTAACCACCAAAGAAAACTCGTTTGAATCATGAAAATAAAAATTTTACAACTAAAAAAAATTGAACACACAGATTACCGAAGAAATTAGAAAAATTCTTAAGAACTGAAAATAATCTAATCAGATTCAGTTCATAATTCTTGACCTAATTAAACAAAAAAAAAAAAAACCACGGATCTATAATTATTTCTAACATCAACAAATAATCTGATCCAGAAATGCAATGTTTGAGTTCCGATCGAGCATACTCTGTCGCGATGAAAAACAACATTTATTGATAATTTAACTAAAATTTGAAATATAATAATTCAATGATAAAGAAAGAGAAAAAGAAAGGAAGATCGACTCACAGAATAAATGTAAGGGAGAAGGTGGAATTTTTACCTGGTAGAAATGGCGAAAACCTACACTTATCAGCCGCCGTGCGTCGAGTATTCGGGAATACTGGCGTTGAAGGAGAAGGTCAGTTAAGAACCCCGGTCAAAGGCGGGCTTCAAATTTTTAAGCCCGATTACATTTTGGGTTGGGCCTGGATTAAAATTTTAAACCCGATTACATTTCGTTCAAAATTAATTATGGACAAGGATTCCCTCCGGATCCTCTTTGTGGGAATTCGGGAATTAATCAATCGTATCTATCCATCGTATATCGTGCAATCACTTTAATTAGGTACTATTTATATTCAATCTAAAATTTAAAATTTAAAATAATTTCTAACCGCACGATGTACGATGAATGGACATGATTGATTGATCATTCAGATCACCACAAAAAGAATCCGGAGAGGATCTTATTCCATTAATTACATGATTTTCAACTCAATTCAATTACATTTTTCAAGTAACCAACTTTTTCCAGCAACTGGCAGACCAAATTTTTCAGTCTTAAAATCACTGTTGAACAATGACTTTTAGAAAAACATGTTAAGTGGTGAATTTTCTCATGAATTATCTAATACATGTAAAAACTAAAATTCACAATACTAAGATAATTGAAGATTAAAAAGTTGCACCTATTACTATTTCTTTATTTCACTTTTGAACAACAAATTAAAATTATCTGGCAACTAGAACTTTTCTGGCAACAATGACAATTTTCAAGATTGGCGAAGGTAGGTTGTGGGTCATGTGCAAAGGGGAAAAAGTTATAAATGTTTATGCCTTGCCCACAAATTGTGGCTCGATACAAAGAAAGTTCTAAAAAGTACAGGGGCAGCTTGGGCGGTAAGTAGGAGTCTAACGCTTAGGGGCTTAGATGGGTTTTTAAATTTGTAATTAAATATATATATATATATATTGAATATATGTGTAAAATTTTATGACTCTTTTTATTAGTTTTGCAAGGTTGTCTAAGCTGAGAAAGGATCCTTGCCGGATCCATTTTGTGAGGATCTGGAGATCTTCCAATCATATTCGTTTATCGTATATCGTTCGGTCAGTTTTTGTCAGGTACTATTTATATTTAATTTTAAATAAAAAAATTTCAATAATTTCTGACCTCACAATATACGATGAACATATGTGATTAAATGATCCATAGGAGCATTGAGGATCCTCCTGAGTCTAAGCTTATGTGTTATCTAAAAGAATGGTGGACCTAGTTTTAAAACAAAATGGACCCGACTTGAAACCAAAGTCCCCCACTTTTTGTAAAAAAAAAAAAAAAAAAAAAACCCCTTTTTTCAATTAAAGCTAGCAGTGTCTACTTAAAACGCCCAATAGACACCTAACTCGCCCAAGAGGCCACCTAATAGCCTTACCGATTTCCAAAAAGATTTTGGGTTCGTCGTGCGTTGCTTTGCTGCCAAGTGTCTAGGAGCAATATCGATTGTCTGAGCCGTTTTTTAGAACATACAAATATAATGAGTTAATGAGTTAAACTTGATAGTTTTTGTTAAAATTGTTATAAGCTATTCACATGAGAATTGTTAACTCGCACATGACATAAGAGCATCTCCAATGGGAGATGTAAATTATCTTGGAATGATAAATTTACAACTTAAAAACTAATTTTAATCGCAGTGGACCAGAATTTGGGAATGTGCAACCCACTGGAAAACGCAAAAAAAAAAAAAAAAAAAAATCTCATATTTTGCATTTTTTTTTCCCATCTCAAAATTTCAACACTTATTTTGTGTGTGACATTTATTATTAATTGACACGTATCTAACAATTTAACGAAAAGCATGTCAATCAATAATAAAAATCACAAAGAGGCCACACACAAAATGGGCTCAGAATATTTGAACTTCGGAAAAGGAGGTTCGTTGGATGATTGAGCACCACCCCAGCATATGCGTAATTAATTAAAATATTTTTGCGGGGACCAGTGACTAAGCCTCAATTAGAGCATTTCTAAAGAAGATATCAAATGTAAAACATCAAAATGATATTTGATGGCCTATGTGGCAATTTAACATTTTATACAATTTTTTGCTCCACCCGATATGTTAAATAAAATTGTCATTCTATAATTTATTTCATCTCTTTGGGGCTCCAATTATTGAGATAACCAATCAAATAATTGGAATTTGGAACACATAGTAACATTTATTATAAATTGCATCACACCTATTAAAAAAATCATTAAATCAATTTTTTTTTTTGGTAAACAATCATTACATCAATTTGATAAAAGACAACTTTGCCTTTAATTGACTCGCTTCCATGTGAGAAATTGAAGACTCGGTTGGATAGAGTTTTACATACTTTTTTAGCTTTTGTATATCTATGTGGTAGTTTTGACATCTTTAAAGTCTGTCACTCTAGTTATTAAATGGCTAAGAATCATTTATCTTTATTCTAACGAGCTACATTAAACTTTTCAGATAAAAATGCAAATTTAACATTTCAAAATTTTACAACTTATCACTAGAACAAAATAGTTTTACATTTCAAAATATTCTAATAAAGATGAAACCGGAGATGCAAAAGATTCAATTGCATATCCAGTTTTACATTTTTGCACTGGAGATATCCTAAAGCCTTTACAGTTTGTTAAAAAAAGTGAGTGTTATCTCAATATAGTAAACTCCATGCCCCTTAAGGGAAGAGATTTTCATTTTTTGAAAAACAATGAGAATAGTCGTGGGATCCATTCTACATCAGACTTTAAAGATTCGAACCACATATTTTGTAAGTCTCGATTTATAGACCATTTATGCAAAAATTCAATTCAATCTGAAACCATTTGCCATTTAATTGTCACAATCAAATTTCAATGTTTCTTAGAACATAGTGTTTGTCAATCTCTTTAAACTCAAATTAGATGCCTCACATATTTCTGATTTGGCTAATAGTGTGCAAGGATGATCTATGAGGTGCAACTTGAAAAATAGACGGTTCAGAACGTTGAAGTTTGATATGGTGTGAGACTTCCAATTAATCCCCATTACTTGAAAAAAAAAAAAAAAATAAGGATCCCTTCCTTAAAGAATCTGTATTGAACTCATATGGGAATCAAATTTGCTAGAGTGGGCCTAAAAATTCAAGTGTGATACCTATCATGAGTTCAATATATTAACTCATAAGTGTGGTGTCAATATATTGAACTCATACTTGTGGGCACTCAGGAGTGATACTAATATATTAAACTCATGAGTGTGATAACAATACATTAAACGTATGTTGTAAGTATAAAATTGGGGACAAAACTCAAACTACATATAAGTATAATTCCTATTTATCACACTCATTCAAACTACTAAAAAGAACAAAACTCCAGCAGTAGTAGAACAACTTGATCAACTTCTTGGGCATCTAGAGCGCACATATTACCTCTCGTGCATCACTTCCTCCAACAATGTGTATGGCGTTTTTATGGGATATTAATACTTTCTTCAAAGAAAATGTAAAATTTACACTTCGAAACACATACGGTTGCCTAATGTCTGAACAAATTTTCATTGATGATTTTGGTATGAGACCGTATGAATTTATAGTTTGACTCATACTTAGGCTTCTAAAACTTGGTCATACATTATTTGCTCTTCCTTTTTAAATTATAAGCGATATCATACATTAACCATCAAGACAATCCATCACTTGTGTTTTGCTATAAAGTGGCCTTGATATATCCCTAATCTATCAGTTAACGGACAAGTTTATTAATGCATTTCCTAATTTGTTTGGACTCAAATTTAATTTTCATAAATGTCAAACTTTTAGCCCGACAAATATTGATGTTGGGTCGTCCACTCATCTTGCGTCGAGTGGAAAATAATGGAAAAAAGAAGTTTGGGTTGCCAAGCTTATAGGTGTGAGTCGTGTGACCTTTGAATGAAATAAACAAGTAGATTTTTTTTTTATTACATCGATATTTTTACACTAAGGGAGGGAGAGTTTAGCTCAGCCACACAGTGAGCAGCCTAATTTGATATCGAATTCGTCATCCACGAGATTCGAACCTAAAATTTAAGCTTAAAGAAACTTCCTTTTTAGCCAAACCTAGAAAGTTTGATTGTCCAATATTAAGTCGTAAATGGTAGTGTTTGTACCACCTTGAATCTAAGGTTATATACCACCTTGAATAGTAAGTCGCTAGGATGTGTTCCATTCCTTATGCCTAATAGCTCATAAGCACACCAGTTATTAATCAATGGAACCCGCTACCCATAAAGGTAGAAGTGCATACCTATAGCTACAGAAGTAGGAAAAATGGCATCAGAAATACTATTTGTTTCCATAAAGTAAAGATTCAAATTGCAACAATGGAAGTTTATTTCTCTAATTTTCTTTTTCGTTTCTCTTAATTTGCAAGTAGCTTGTAATTCAGTTGGTTAAAAGTATTCGCCTTTGCACTCTCAATAGTTCAATGTAAATTATCCTATAGTTTGTCAAAAAGAATTCTTTTGCATGTGGTCCAATATCCTAGTAAATAGGGTTGAGTTTCCACCGATGCATTTCGAATTCAAAACTTCCCCACTCCTAAATTATTAAGAAAAATTATTGAAAATGGCTCGAAAACTTTGAATTTTAACGATAAGGACAAAATAAAGGGTAAAGTGAATAGTATCAAGATTGACTTTTTAATGTAAAAATGTGGTTTTTCGTTAAAGTGAACAATACTGAGAGCTTTTCGTTAAATTTCCCAAATTATTATAATAGTTTTGAACTCCACCCTCTCCCCTTAATAATCTATACTAATTAATAAAACCTTCTTTGTCAATCAAGAGAGAGTGAAAAGAAAAATTAGTCTTCTATCATACAAAAAAAAAATGATGGGTAATAATGTAATTTCACAGGTCCAAATTTTACTATTTTTTATTGAAACCTCACCTACAGGTGATGTTAAAATACCTCCAATATTGAAAAAAAAAAAACCAAAAACAAAAACAAAAACCTCCCAGTCCACTCACGTTCTCTCTCTCCCTCTCTCTTTATCATTTTCTAAAAAACTGTGTTCATACACACAAAGTGTGTAGGCAAATGCTAGTAATATTTAAAAAAGAGTATTAGCAAGGGAGAATTGAACATATACTTTGTGTGCAACAATGCATACTTGTAAATAACTAAATTAGACACC